GGCCGCCGCCCCAGGAGTACTCCCACACCGCCGGTACCTGGTCCGGGGGGTGCGACCCGCCGGAGAGGGGGGTCACCCGGTTACGGGGATATTATTGAGTGAAATTGGTGGAAATGCTGAGCTGCGGAGAAATCCGGTGATCGGCTCCCGCCTCCCCATTGGCCGGGCCGGGCACATGCCCGCCTAACCTTATTCTATTTGCACGACAGCAAGTAGGAGGGCTCTATGGCAGGGGAAAAAAAGACAACACGAGAAAAATTAGTATTTTCTACCTTCAGAAATTAATGGCCATGAGTTCGTATATGGTGAACTCTAAGTATGTGGATCCCAAATTTCCTCCTTGCGAGGAATATTTGCAGAATAGCTACCTAGGCGAGCAGGGGGCCGAGTACTACAGTGCCTCGCAGGGCTCTGATTTCCAGCACCAGGGGCTCTACCCACGGTCAAACTACAGCGAGCAGCCCTTTAGCTGTAGCAATGCCCAAGGCTCTGCCGTGCAGCCGCGGGGTCATGGACAGGAGCAATCCGGCCCAGCGAGCCACTTCCCCGGCCAAGCAGAGCATTGTCCACCGCCTCCAATGCCCAACTCGCGAGCCTGCAGCCAGCAGCCGGCCCTCAAAGCCCCAAACGGGTCAGCACTTAAGCAGCCAGCAGTAGTTTACCCCTGGATGAAGAAAGTCCATGTTAACTCGGGTAAGGATCCTCTTCTTACTTTGCTCTTCTCCCCTGCTTCCGATCGTCCTCAGCGACGCTCGCTCGAGTCCCTGCCAGACTCGTGGACGAGCTTTTTAAGCCGAGGTACCCAATTACACTCGTCATAAATTTTTATTGCTGAGGAAATAGGCCGTTGGCCATGCGGGGCTTTGCCGTGCAGGAGAAAACTCCATTTTAGGAGCCTGCTAGAGGCTCCCAGCCTACCTAGCTGCGTGTGCCCGTAGTGCCTGCCTTAAACGAGGGGGAGAGCAGCCCGTCCATTGTAAGCAACTGGGACGAATCCAGCCTGGCCACATGCTCGCAGCTCGTAAGGTTTTCTTTTGTAAAGTCGAACCGGCAAGTCAGGATTAGCTTTGTAAAGTTCTCCGTATTTTTTTCCCAGTGAATCCCAATTACAACGGAGGGGAACCTAAACGCTCCCGTACAGCTTACACCAGACAGCAAGTCCTAGAACTGGAAAAAGAATTTCATTTTAACAGGTACCTGACCAGGCGCCGCCGTATCGAGATAGCCCACACTTTGTGTCTCTCTGAGCGCCAGATCAAGATCTGGTTTCAGAATAGAAGAATGAAGTGGAAAAAAGACCACAAACTGCCCAACACGAAGGGCAGGTCTTCTTCCTCTGGTTCAAACCCCCATTTACAGACTGGTTCCAAGGACCATCAGACTGACTTGACAACTTTGTAGAAGAGGTGAAATTTTCCATTTCATCCTTCGCTTCTGACCAGTACTGTACATAACTGACACTGCCCAAGCAGAACCTGCATGTAGCAGCTAAGGACTCGAGAAACTGTCATCTTTCTTTAAGGTACTGTTGTACAAAGGAGACAAAATGACGCTACTTGGGACTTTATTTTATTTGCCTCTGCTAGCACAACCTAAAAAAGGAAAAAAAAAAAAAAGGGGGAAAGAAAGCAAGAAAGAAAGGAAAAAAAAAAAAAAGAAACATCATGCAGGCAGTGGGAATTGGGAAAATATTAAACGAGACCTTCTGTCCATAAAAAGTAATAAATCATTGAAAATGAAACTGTCCTGTGTTTCAGTTTTGAATTCAAAAGTGAAGGTTTGATGTTTTATTCTGGGATTTTTACTTTTAATTGTCTTTTTGTCCCACGCAATTTCGGGAGGATGCATTTGGGCAAGTTGAGGACAGGAAATTTATAGCATAGTCTTTTATTTGAACATAAAGACTAGTAATCGTGAACTTTTTGTGCTGCTTTACCTTTCTTGGTGTAATGAAAATACTTGCTCATTTCCATAACGTCTCAGAAGATGTGCATAGGAATTAAGTGAAAACGGGTTATTTTATGTACTGATAGTGTTAGCGTATTTATTTATTTGTTACGTAGAAAAGTGAAGAAAAAAAGAAAAATAGTCAAACCAAAAACAGGGAAGGGGAGCTGAAATACAGTATTTCTCCTTCCCACTCTCATGAACACATGTATAATGTTTACTTGTCTTGAACGTACACAACTTTCTTGTCCCTTTTTTTTTTTTTTTAATTTCCTTCTTTGTGAATAGGAAAAGCGTCCCTGCTCCTTACTGTGTGCCATCCAGGGCTAACAGGCTTGAAATCTGTTTCCAAAGTCTGCTCTGCTCAGCGCTGTGCTTTAAACCATCGATACCTCATTTAAAAATGGAAAAAAAAAAAGGGGGGGGGGGGACCACAAAAAAACCAACCCCCACAACAAAAAGCTAAAAAGGAAAACCCAGAGTGAAAAATAAATGCGATTTCTGATATAACCTGAGCCATTCAAAACTGAAAGCTGAATGCATTCTTTCAATCAGTTTTTAAATGTCTTTTCTGCCCAAGAGAGAGAGAGGCTATGCGCGTTGCTGCTTTGTTTTATTTTGGGGTTATTTTGGTCTGTTGAGGGTTTTCGTTTTGGTTTGTTTTTTGGTTTTGTGGGTGGTGGTTTGTTTTGTTTTGTTTTGTTTTGTTTTTGAAGAGCAGTGATTGTTTTTAAGCAAACCACGACACATGACTGCAATGGTTGGAAATCTCAGCAAGTTGCTTTCGGGGAAAGGGGAAAGGCTTGGATGGGAGCAGAGCTGGTCTAATACCCACGGATTTGTCCCTGGCTGCTGGCTGTATCGTGCCAAAGTTTTAGTGCGCTGTAACTACCAAAGCCAGCCAAACCAGCTGCCTCAGCCACTTACACCTCTGCTCAGGCGGTTTTAAAGCTCAGCCCTTATCTCCTGTACCCTCAGGGCAGCTGGGAGAGGGACCACATCATTGAAATTGTAACGAGATGATCCCTTTATTAAAGAAAAAAGGGGCAAAGAAGGAAACCCAGAGCAAACGCTGAAGGGCAGTGGAAAGAGCAGGGGGTGCCCATCTCCAGGCTGGGTGCTTCCCACAGAGGACTCACTGCTTTCTGGGCTCACTCGGGAAAACCCTGGGCAAAATGGGCTTGAATGAATTCTAAAATAAAAGGCGAGCTTTTCAACAGGAGTGCATTCGGCAGCATTAACTGTGGCCAGCGGTTAATTTCTGCCCTTTTCTCATCCCTAGCAGTCCGCAAAGTGTCTTTAAGACTTGGTCTTTTGTTTTAGAGCCTGGAGAAAACTCTTTGTTCTTCCTTAGGGTTAGCCCAGTTCTCAGACTTGCACATGGCAATACTTGAATATCTCCACGTCGTGATATTAAAGATGGATATTCCCGCATTATTCGCATCATTGTTTCTATGACAAAAAGCACCGAGTTCATACATAGTAAAGATGTCTTTTTTCTGACGCCTTCACGTTGAGAAGCTGAAAAGGTATTTTACTGAAGTTCGGCTAAATTGCAGGAACAGGTTCACCCAGAGGACAAATTTTCTATTCGATTAGTTGTATTTCAGCCGGGAAGAGTGACCTCTAAACCCTTAACCTTTTGGACCCAAACTACCCTTCCCTTTCTCTGGCATGGAGAGCAGCTAGCAGCAGCGCTTGAGGAGGGAATTCCTGAGCCAAGTTTTCAAGTTTTCTTGCACCCGGTTCCTGCGGTAGCGGCCTTTCGTCTCCAGAGTTGTCCAAAGCCCTCCCTTTGCTCTTCATACGAATCTAGGGAAAGGAGAAAAAAAAAAAAGAAAAAAAAAAAAAAGGAAAAAAAAAGAAAAACTTCTCTGGCTGCTCTTCTTGAAAATCCCCCTCCCGGACCCCCGCTGTTTACTTAAAGACTGTGATAAGTTGGCTCGGAGCAGGGCAAACGTGTTATTCGAGAGAGAGCTACCAACTTTGGCATCTGTGGTACAGTTCTGGAAAATAATGGCCTTGGATAAGCAAATCCTTGCTTTGTGCTTCTTATCGACCGAGATGGCTCCCGAAGTTAAAGGGCCAAATTCTGCTCCCAGATTTCCTTCCCCCGCCCACTGAAGTCAAACAGGGATGTAGCTGCGAGCAGAATTTGTCTCATTGTCTTTTGAAATGTTAATATCTCCAGGACGAGTGTTGGGTTCCGCAGGCACAGCTCTTACAACCCTGTTTGCAAGTCCCCTTTGAGAGAGGCTGGGGCACTGTAATTTTACATACTTGTAACTGCGCTGTAAGCTCGGCGAATACGTGAACTGGAGGCAGAAAGTACCAAAAGAAATAGTTTCCAGCTGCCAATGCTCTGAAGGGTCAGGAATGTCTGTAATAACGACCAGAAGCACCCCCTGGTCATTATCTCCCGTGGAAAACCAACCTGGGCTTTATTTTTTATTGTTTTTTAACCCTCCTCCAGAGTTATTTTGTGTAGGAAGGGAAGCTGGTTATCTTTGTTTATCATGGGTGGAACGTTGTGCATCAGAGCCTTTGTTAACCGGTTGCATTGTCCAGCAATACCCTCATCTCTGTTAAAGTGTGATGCTTTTTATAGACTTTGCCAATGTTTTGCTGCCATTGATTAAAGCGTTATTTATACTAATTGTCGCCTGTAGTTTTGATGTAAGCACTCCGTATACATTTGAAACAATAAAAGGTGTAGAGAAATAGATTCTGGTTTGTACCTTGAACAAACAGTCCTTACAAGGTGGGTCTCTCTCCTGTGAAAATGCTGGTCCCTCCCATCATTACAGTGTTAAAAGATGAGTGACTCTACATAGCATCCTTCCAAATGTCCCTTTGAACAGGTTTGCTGATTGCCCCAGCCATAATGGTGTGACTCCAGGCCAAGCTGGAGTCTATATTTACATTTAGGCTGCAGTTAAAAGTGCCTGTCATCCATTTGCTACTGCTTTGCATTTAACAAGCCCTCCTAGAATGACTCCCGGATTTATGCATGTGTGGTGGGAGGCAAGGAGCCACACCTGAAGTCACCTCGATCCCCACACAGATGTGTGCCTTTTAGGTGAGTCCTGGAACGTATCAATTTAAAAAGAGATGGAAATTTGAAATTGAAATGCACTGAGTAGCTTTCTCCGAGCAGTAAGCTTCACTTCTTCAGCCTACACGAGGGAAAGGTCACAAGAAAACACAAACCTGGAGAGTTTAAACTTTCCCGTCGACCTAAGAGAAACATCTTGGTTTTTCTTCTCCCCTGCGTAAGCACCTCAGACAATAACACGTACCTCCGGCCAGGAGAAGTCGATTGCGCTATTTTTGTCATAAGTGTTTGTCACTGAGGACTTGTCCTCTCCTGGAGCGTGGTCAAGGCACGAGTCCAAGCAGACACAGTCTCTTGCTCAGCCCGGGAAAGGAGCGTGGTGCACAGAACAAGGCATGTGCCCTTACTGCCTGGAGTGCGCGGAGGGGAGGGTGCGTGTGCGTCTCTAGGCACACGCTGGCTAAGTTTAAATATCGAGGCACATTTTGCGACTATAGTGTCTCTCTCCCTCCTGTTTAATGGCTCCTCCTGTTACTCCCGATACATCAATACAGTTCTGTATATTATATCACCACTAGTCGTTAAGGTAAGAATGAAGAGGAAAGGCAGAGTCAATAGCAAACCCCACGCACTGTACAGTACAGTAAATAGGGACCTCTCGGTGCAGAGCCACACCGCTTCCACCGGCCATGTTTGTTAGCCCTTTCCCCTGATTCTTTTTCCTTCCC